GCTGGCCAATAGGTTTCCCATCTTCCTGGCTGAGGGGAATACTGAGGAGCATCTAGCAAGAGGCAGTGCAGCAGGAAGGGGGACCTGGCTTTGGGCTGGCTGCATCTGGCCTGCCTCTCCTCTTTCCTGGTGAGTCAAGATACACAGATTCAGATGCATCCCAGGAGGCACTGCAGAGGCGGCCAGCGTGAGTATCAGCTGGTTTGTGCTGTGCAAACATTAAGCAACAGCTCTCAGTAGCTTAGGCCCAGTAGTGGCCCATGAGCAGCTCTGCTCAGCACCAGCCTTTGGGAGCACAGGCCTCAAGCTCTCCCTCACTGTGGGGCGCTCTCTCAACTCCAAGACCTCGTCAACCACCCTGCAGAAGGAGGGGCCGAGAAGGTTTGCAGTGGCAGTGACGTGCTGCAGCCCAGAAGGAACAATCTCAATCCATCTGCCAGACGGTAAGACATAGACCTCCGCTGTGCAGGGGAAGGAGACGTGGCTGAGCAAAGAGCTGGAAGACGCCCTGGAGTCAACACCAGGCGTAAATGCTCCTGGGTGCCTGAGGCTGCTCGTTTCTTCCTGTGTATTTATTGCACAAAAGCACACACTATAAAAAATAAACATGGAAGGGCCCTTGAGGATTCCGTTACATTAACAAATCCCCACCCTTGGCTCCCTTCTCCCTTAGCCATTCTCTAGCCATCTGTGCAGAAAGCCTTGTGTGGTACAGGGTTTCCTTTCACATTAACCCTATGTTACGTGCCACACGTGTCCTGAGGCTGCTGTGTCACCACCTGCAGTCCTCTGCTGACAGCTGCAGCTCACGGGCCAGGGGCACCAGCCTTGCAGCTCCACACTGGGCTCACCATCACAGCCAGCACATGCAGCGCCTGGTTTAACCCCCAAACCCTAACACGCCAACATCGATCTCTGCTTGCTCCTGGCTAGAAGCTGGACACTCGGAGAGGGCAAGCAAGGCCCCACGTCACCATGGAAAAGTGCAAGAACTAGAACTTGAACCCATGACGGTGCCCAGGGCCTGGCATTCTTGGACAGTGCTGCATGCTCTGAGAAGATCCCCCATGTCTTGTGCCAGCAGAGCCACTGCCTGTGCCCTGCACCCTGGGGATCTCCACTCAGCACCGAGAGGCCTGCCCAGAGCAGACGCCCCAGACGCCCCAGCTGTGGGGGAAGAGTGGGTGCAGCACGCATGCGGTGCCACTCCTAGGACACCCTGAACGTTCCTTTGAAACATGGTTTTCTCTTCCCAGAATGTCGCCCTCCTGGCAGCTATTTCAAGCCGCCCTCTCTTCCCTCCGCTGCCATTTCTCCTCCGGCTGTCTTCCTCAGCTGAGCCTGTGTCGCTTGTCTGGCAGAGTAACTCTTCCTTATTTCAGTCTTTAGCTCTGCACTTGCAGCAGGTGCCCCCCTGGATGGGCATCCTGAGGCCCTTCCCTGGCCAAGGTGCTAGGAGAGGCAGCTGTTTTTTAACGAAGGGGGCAATTTCCCCCTCCATCCCGTCCTTGGGGAGCAGCCTAGCTCAGGAGGGAAGGGCAGGAAGCCAGCCGGGTCCCTTACAGGCGACTGTGCACGAGGGACCAAGTTCTCTTCTCCCTGCACCTCCTCCTCTGAGCTTTCTCTCCTCGCCCCACAGCCCTTGGGGCCCCGGGCAGAGACCTCTGGCCAGCAGATGCACTGTGTTCCTGGAAGACTGGGCCGGGGCGGTAACAGTTCAGCATGCGACTGTGAGCCGCGGGTGCGGCACACACTGTTCCAGACCAGGACTCGAGAGACTGGGTGCTGGTTCTGGGAGCTGAGACTCGAGTCCTGAGACCTTGGTGAGCTGGGTAACCAGCCTCTGCTGTGTTTCCCTGTCTGCAAAGCAGGCACACATTGCTGCCCCTCCCCCCATGATGGATGAGAAAGGGCTTTATGCACTGGGGGCCTGAGGCTGGGCCAGCAGGTGGGAATTCGCTCCTTCCCCGGGGGACTTCACTGAGGACAGCCTCAGCTATCAGCCAGGCAGAGGAGGGATGAGCTACGGCCAGCGTCTGCTGCCCTCTCCTCTCTGCCTCCCAGGGCAGGGTGGCCTGAGCAGGGGCAGAAGAGGAGCCAGCCCTGCAGTGGCCGTGCTGTGTCATCCACAGAGGCAGGGAGCCCAGAGCAGAGACGTAAACAGCACCTCGATATAAACACCAGCCAACAGCTGGGAATTTTCCAAAGCTTCCCTCAAAAGCACCTCTGTGGCCCATCTAGGGATGCACAGGGGAGACTGGTGCCAGCAGGCAACTCAGGTGCCTGTGCCCTTGTCCTGAGGGGGTCAGGAGACCAGAGAGAGCAGGGGCTGCCCAAGCCCCAGGCTGGAATATATAGGGCTTTTCTAAGGGTTTTGTGTGTCCTCATCTGGGGCCCACAAGGTAGCTATCTTCGTGCAAACTGGGCCATGGCCAAGGAGGGCAGAAGCCCAGAGTCGAGCTGTCCTGTGAGACACTCTCCCGGGAGCCCCATCCTGGCACCCAGCACACTGAGGTGGGGGTGCGCCTATTCTTAGGATAGACTGTTCAGGCTGTTCAGTCTGCCCCAGTTCAGGCCAATCACGAAACACAGTGTGGTCTTCCTGAGCACACATTTCTGGTAGACAGAGGCAGAACCCAGATAATGTAAATGTTCATGGTTCGGGAATGCCCTGGGTGCTGGGAATTGCTCCCTGTCTGCCATGCCTGGAGAGACTTGAACGAGGGTAGAGGGAGCCAGGAGGAGAAAAAGACGATAGGAACTTTCAGGACGGTGTTAGTCAAATCAAAAGACTTTCACTGAGTGAAGTGGGAAACCCCTGCAGGTCTCGGGGAACAGGGTGGCGTTTTCTGACTCAGGTTTTGAAGATTAGCCCTGACTACTGTTTGCAAGACTGAATCCAAAACACATTTTTCAGGAAAAGCCAATTTAATTAACTAGTCCTTGTGAGCACGGACTAAGAGAAAGAGCATCAGGAGGGATCCCAGGCTGTCTGCAGGGCGGGATCTGCCGGCTGAATCTTGGGCGATCCTGAACAGGTCTCGGGCTGCTCCTCTGGCAGGATCCAGCTTAGGCTGAGTCCTGAAGAGAAGCACCCGAAGAAACAGATCTCTGCAGATGCAGGGCGATCTGCAGCCTCAGGCCTGGAGGGGCTTCAGACGTCGGGTAGAGCCACACTGCTCACCCAGGCCGATGTAAACCTCAGAAGTCTGCAAGGCAGCAGCTGTGCTGGAAAAGGAAACAACAGGTTCGCAAGGGGAGGTGTCTGCTCTCGGGGCTTGCGCCAATTACAGTGGTGTAAACACTCCCAAGTGGCTCTCAGGAGCTAGCAGGCAGGGTGCAGGCCTTGCCCCCCACCCCCACTCCCCCGACTGGACAGGGGCTCCTCCTTTACACCCTGGCCTCCTGGGTCAGGAGGTCTTGGGAATGCTCTAGCCGGGCTGCCTTTTTGTGAATCCCATCTTGGAGATAAAGACATTTACAGCCCTATCACCCATTCCCAACCCTTATTTTATTTTACTTTTTATTGGCAGACACAGTCTCAGCAAGTCACTAAGTCGCCCAGACCAGGCTCAGACTTGTGATCCTCCTGCCTCAGCCTCCCAGAGTGGTGACATTGTAAAGCCATGCACCACCACTCCAAACCAAACGAGATATATTCATACTAAACTATAATTCATGATTGACTGGAATGCAGACCGACCTGGATATTTATGTTTCTATGTTCCTGTGGCTCACAGATAACAAAATTTGTCTCACTTTGTCATTTATTATTTAAATCTGTTTACAGTGCCTTTTCCATAAATAAGTGTTTCTGGTTTTACACAATCACGTCTGCCAGTCTTGTCATTCATGGTTTCATCACGTACTTAGAAAGACTTGCAGAATCGCAGGTTTGTGACAATTTTCCGCATATACCTTAGTTTTAGCTTACATTTTATAGCCAATGCTGACTGTACATGGAGCTCATTTTAGTTTGGGGAATGACAGAAAGTCAGTTTCCCGCTCCTGCTAAGGCTGTTTGGACACGGTTGGTTAGGCCCATCCACGCGGTCATCTCCTGGTGCTCCTGCTGCGGAGTTCCCCCTGTACCTGCTCTCTGGGCGCGGGCCCACCCCCACTGCTGTCACTCTGGCTTGTCGCCGCTGTCTTTGTTCCTGTGTGCGGGAGCAGTGTGGTGTGACAGAGGCCCGTGCTCCCAGAGACACAGACAGGACAGTCGGACTCCCCTTCCTCCAGGGATCTGAGACACAACAGGAGCCTCCCGGCCCTCACCTGCGGTCCGTGTGCTGCCCAGGACGGCTCTCTGCCTTCCCGGGGTGCGGAGATGAGTGAAACCCTTGGGCAGTGCAAAGGCCCCGTAGCTGGTGAGCGCCGGCCAGTGCTGCAGTCTGTTGCTCGGCCCACCATGCCCTCTCTTCCCGCCCTGCAGCCCGCTTCCCTTGCACGCTTCCTCCCCGAGCTTCTATGCACTGCTCCGTTTCCTTCCCCATGACACTTGGAATCATCAGGTCAAGCTGAAATTCCGCGGTGGTGACCCTGAGCCCACGAAGCCGGAGGGCCGGGCGGGCTGCAGTGTCCACCCCTCCTGTGAGGGCAAGGCCCGGGTCTGGCTGGGCCCGAGGCTCGGCTGGGAGCAGGACAGAGGTCAGCGCCACGAAGCCGCCCCGAATCCATCTGCATCCCGGCCGTCCGGCAGGGGGGTGAGCAGGGATTTGCCTTCCTCTCTAACTGCTTCCTAAGTGGCCACTGTCACTTCGCCTTGAACACCGCGATTCATTTCCCAGCTGGACAGCAGCGCACTGCCTCCGACCGCCGGGCCCGCCCCCGGGGCACCCCCTGCCCAGCTGCCCGCCCTGCCCAGCTGCCCGCCCTGCCCAGCTGCCCGCACCGCCCGCCGGGCGCAGCGGGTCTGCGGAGGAAGGAGGGGCGCCCCGCCCGCCCGCGCGCCCAAGTTTCCCGGCTTCCGCTTGAACCGCGTCCAGCTGCTCGCCTTTAAGATGCCCGGGCCGCGGCTCGTGACTCAGCCCCGGGGCCTGCCCGCGCCCCGAACCCGGGACCCGGACCCGAACCCCAACCCCGGGGAAGCGCCGCAGTGGACAGCCGGGCGCGGGCCCCGCGCCCTCGGACCCGCTGGCCAGGTAAGGACGGCGGCGCCGGGCGCAGGGAGGGAGGACCGCGGGCGCCTGGGCATCCCGCGGCGGCGCAGCCTCTCCGGGACCGCGACCGGACGGGACCGGGCGGCACCGCTGCTGGCCGCGCTGGCCGGGCCCGGCGGGCCGGGGTCAGGGGACCCGTGTGGACCGGCCGGGACCCTGCAGAGCCCGCCGTGGGCCGGATCGGCTCGGCAGGCTCCGCGGGCCCGGGGTGGGGGACCGCTCGGACCCGGGACCGGGTTGCGCCCCTGCGACTGCTTGTCCGGGGCCCTAGGCTGGGACCTGTGCGCTGCGGACCAAAGTCAGGGGTCCTGCGGGCGGTGGGCAGCCGGAGCCCACCGTGCCTGGCGCGGGCGCAGGGGCCGACTGGCCTCAGTGCAGTCAGTGAAGGTCAAAACAGGGAACTTTGGGGAAGTTCCGGGCGGCAGTGGCCGGAGATGGGGGGTCTCGGGGGCTTCTCCTGTCCTGCTGCGGAAGGCCGAAGCCAAGCTTTCAATTATCTCCCCTTATCAGTGGAGTGGAAAATAATTCCAGGAATGTCTGGGGATTGTGTTAGGGAGCTGAAATTCCTAATGGCCTCTTGGCACGGGCAAAGTTTGGGGCAGGACCTGTCAGAAGCCCGAGCTGTTGTGCCTTCTCCTGGACGTGTAGAAGGCTCACCAGACCCAGCAGCCTGCGGCTCTGGACCCAGAAGACAGAGTCCCCCACGGAGGGCTGCCTTCCCAAAGGTTCCCTTCCAGCCCTCGGAACCCGCTCGCCTGTGCTCCTGTCCTCTAGGCTCCGGCTGGACACGGACACGGTCTCGGTCTTTGCACAGTGAGTGTGTTGGGTGAACTGGGGGCCCCAGGCTGGAGGCTCTGGGACCTTGTCCTCAAGCCCTTCTTAGCTGCACAGCAATAATCCATCTGTGACCTTTGGGAACCTGCAGAATGGGTTTAGGTGTCATAAAATCAGGCAGCCCGGGCTGGGATGTAATCGACACACTGGATTTTGATTAAGGCTTTGTTTTCGGCTCCACATAAGATTTGCAGCAGCTTGCATGGGGGCATTTGTGTGCACAGAACCTTACTTGCCTCCTTGAGAAAACTGTTCCAAAACAAATGACCTTATGTTTACCCAAAGAGAAAGCATAAGTAAGCTGTTCGTTTATTCTGTGATCTTTGCATTCATAGACTTGTTCCAAAGGATTAATCTCCTAATCACTTTTTCCCAGAATACTGTTTGTTATTTGTGGAGGAAACACAGGTAATGAATACATATGGTCTGATGTTTCTCTGAATTCAAGTTAGTGTGGAAAATTATAGCAAATCTCTAGCTGTTAAATGATTAAAATATAAATCTAAAATAAACAAGGTTATGGTAGAAAAGAGTTTTTGAAAAGTAATATACATATAAACCTTAATTAACCTAGAAAAAAAGTAATTCAAGTAGAAATTCAATGACCCAGGAGCCATGTCTCTTTCCAGTTTATTTCCTTACTGGGTTAATGAGGGAGGCAGCGTTTGTGAATATACTGCTTGCTAGTTAATCTTTTTTGTTTTTGACAAATACTTACACTGTCACAGCACAGACTCAAAATCGACAGCCCTGTGGTTCTTCAAGTGTAGTACTGCTCCCCCCAGCACTACTGTGATCCCAAGATTTAAATAGGCCGTGCGGTGGCATCAAGGCAAACGTCTTTAATGACCCTGCCTGGCCACGTGAGGAAGAGCCATGTTTATAAAGCAGACAGGATTCCAGTGTTTCTCATAAATTCAGATATTGAAGACCATGATGGCTCTGGATTTTGGCATGTATGGCTCTGGAGTTGGTCCATGTCTGTGAATTTTTTAGGTAGTTCATTATTAGAAGTGTTGACATTTTCAAATACGAGGATTGTTTTACAAAGAAGTGTTTCTCAGGTGTGTCCTTTGCCCCTTCCCTTCCGAGCTGGCCCGGTGCTTACTGTGGGCTGGGGTCAGTGCTGCAGAAGGCACTGACTATGCGTGCACCGGGCTGGAGGCTGGGTCTGTGTCAGGCAGTGGAGCTCAGTCCAGGCTCTCGCTACTGGCCCGACGACCTGGGGCAGCGTCTCCAGGTGGGTGCTGGAGCTGGTGGCCTGACAGTTTCCGCTCTCTTTTCTAAAGCCCAGGACAGTCCATACATAGTGGGTTCCACTTATGAAGCACTGACTGTGTACCGAGCGTTTAATACCTGCTCTCGATGCATCCTCGGAGTGGGCACTGTATCCACGTTTTCCTGATGGGGAAACTAAATGATCAGAGAAATGGCTTTGGGGATTCAAGGTTAGTGAAGGGAGACAGCTGGTGTTCAGAACCGGATGCCTGATTCGGAAGTTTACATACTTCTCACCTACATCATATTTACTGCTTAAGGTCGGCCAAAGGAAAATCCTTTGCTGTAGTCAGCATTCAAGAGAGGAAAGCAAGGAAGGGAGGCAAGTGGGAGCCAGGCTGCAGGCGGAGCAGACGGAGGAGTGGGGCTGGGACAGATGCTGTCCTAGGGATGTGACTCTCAGCTCAGGGCGGCTGGCACGATGCCCTCTGCCTGCCCTCCCAAGACTGACAGTGGCATGTGGCCTGACCCTGCCTGGCCTCACCAACAGACCCAAGTCCTCTGGCCACACAGTCCCACTCCCAGCCCCAGAGCGTGTCCTGGCTGTTGTCTGTCCCGCCAGCCACCCCTGCCCAGGGCAGACACTGCTAACAGCTCGTGACACTCTGTCCCATGGAGCTGGGACAAGACCTAACAGTCCATCTCCCCACTGCTGGGAGCTGGCAGCACCGCCCCCAGGTGGGTGCTGGAGGTGGTGGACATGCAGGTGGGGGGTGAGCCCAGGGAGGGTCCTGAAAGCCGCAAGTCCTGCAAGCATTTAGCATTTAGCTTCCCCTCCCCGCAGCCCTTCTGTAAGCCAAGGGTGCCTGCGAAACCCATCTCTGTGCAGCCTCACACATGCTGAGCCCCAGACACACCAGGGTCTCCAGGCCATCACTTCCCCTGCGTAGCCTGTATCACTCTGGCCACTCCTAGAATCTTGTCAGGGAACCCTTTACAAAAGCCCCCCTCATGGAGGCCCCGCAAATGCGTCCTCCTGGGGGACAAGGGACAGTCCTCCATGCGGAGTGGTGCTGAGTGGAGCCAGGATGCAGTGATCTAGTCATCCGTGCCATCGATGGCTGCACACACCCACCAGGGGACAGTTTTCCCAGGGGAGCACAGGGACCGCCATCATCAGACTCCTTTGTGCTGGCTTCGGTCTGAACTATAGCACATTGGCCGCCTGGCCACAGACACATCCCACAGTGCTCCGAGCCAGCTTCGGCTCTGGGCAGGGACAAAGGTAGGGATGTGACATCTGGAGGGCCAGCGCTGCTGGCAGAGGAGAACGTGTGAAATCCACTTGCCTTGGCTTGTCCCATGGCAGGCCTGGGGAGAGCTGGGACCCCGAACCCTGATTTCCAGGTTGGCCATAACATGCAAGGAGACAGCAGAGAGCGGTCCAGAGAGTTGCCCTGAGCTCATGGTAAATGCAGACTCAGGCCAGACCCCAGACCCTAAGCTGGGACTCCCTGGCGTGTAGCTGACTGTGTCCATTGTTTAGAGCTCAGAGAGGCTGAGTTGCCTGGAGTCTGAAGCGTGAGAGCCACCGCACAGCTTGGGCAGGCTGGCAGGGTGCACCCTTGCCTGATTTAAACTACAACTTGCTCTAGAAAGGCAAGCATCCTCTTTCCCCTCTACCTGCAGACGCTGCACCTAAACACCCACGTTAGGGTTCCTACAAGGGCATTTGATTTCCTGCTTTCCTCAAAAGTCATGCAGTGCCAGCCATCAAGGCCTCCCGCAGGCATGTGGCCCAGCCCCACTGCTGTGGCCCCAGTCTTGAGGACAGGAAAGGATGAACAATGAAGGATAGACAGCTAGGCCAAATCCGGAGAAAAACTTTGTGCGTGTGCCCTTTGTCCAGCTCTCTACCTCGCTCCTCCTGCACAGCAAAGCCCAGAATCGCTCCGGTGCCTTCTGCTTGTGGGAAGGTCCCTGCTTACTTCCTGCTGTCTTAGGACGGTTGCGTTTTCCAGAGGACAAAGACTTCCATCCCTTAATCCTCGGTCTGTGGGTTCAAAACAACACATTTGCGGTTGACTTGGTTCCTTGCTTTTCACTGGGGTGGAAACTAGGATCCGGCACACAGCGGGCAGCGGTGCCCAGTGGAGCAACTCTGCGGCCCCCGTTCAGTTTTAAAAACTGCATGGATTCTGGAAAACATGCAGTGTTTTTTGGAGTTGCCTTGCTAGTAACCGGGACATCGGCAGGACACACAGTCTCCCAGGCCGCCTCCCACTGGGTGGGTTGGGAGAGATGCTGCCCCTCGGTCTCCTCAGCCTTGTGCGGTGTGAGGGGCCTGACGCTTCAGGCAGCCACACTCGGCCTTCTCTGGGAAAGATCAGCCGCAGGCCCCAGGTCCCCCTGTACCAACCGCAAAGAGCCCGGGGTCAGGCCTTCTCCTGGCTGCTGGTGCTGTGCACAGTGCCCTGGTGCTGTGCGCCCCTCCACGCTGACTCACAGGAGGAGACGCTGCCAGGTCTCCAGCCGGCGTGCGTCCCTGAGCTGGCATCTGGTCCTTGTCACCCAGGATGCTTCTTGTGAGCACCAAGGTGGCCACAGACCCTGCGGTGTTGGGCCACCCTCCTGGCCCTGCGATGAGGGTCTCTGCAGTTCCACCGATTTCTTCCCCAGCGTGGCCCCCACCTTCCCAGCACGGGCCTGCACACCTTCCCGGCATCTGTGCTTTGGCCTCGCACTCGCTTGGCGCAGAAGACAGACGATACTAGCACAGCCTGAGCAGATCTGCTTTCTGTTCAGCAGGAAGCACACAGGAATCTTAAAGGGCTCCAGACAGACAGAGGTGACTAATGAGAATGGCTGGGTGGGCTTCACTCCCCACGGGTCTGTGAGGGGGGAGTCAGTCCTCCACAGCAGACACAGGCTCTCAGTGGCCTCTGCAGCCGGGGCTGAGGGGAGCAGCAGAGCCAGGCTTCTCTTTGCCCCCTGATGCCCAGGCCCTGGGCTCCGCCCGCATCCACCTTGCACCTGCCAGGATTTGGCTGCGTCGCCCTCTCCACACGTGTGAGCTGCTCTTCCTTCTGAGTGCCCTCGAGGTGGGCTTGTTGGTCCATTGCCAGGAGAGGGCAGAGACCTCACCTCAGCGGTCACTAGGGACCGAGCCTTCTTCCCTGCCTCTTCTGTTTACCCATGGGAGGAAGAAGGAGGTGGCGTCACCTGAATTTTGCAGGAGAGGAAAGAAGGAAGATGGTGATGACTGACAGTCTGGGTCCGTTCAACGCGCTGCGCCCTGAAGAACGGCTGGGTTCTTGTCCAAGACCTGGGCTGCACCCGGGGATGTATCGCGGGGTCCCACCCTCATCTCCCCCAGCACCATGCTCTTCCTTCAGGACCCTTGGGGCTTGGCCCAGAGCACATGCTGGGGTGACAGTCGGCAAGGGATCCTCCACCAGGTACCTGTTGAGCTAACTGCTCTCTGTTGTGCTGCTTACAACACAGCCTGGGCTTGGGGGTGTAACCCAGGGGAGCTGAACTCTGTGTTTGCCAACTGGAACGGCTCACCACAGCCCTCAGCAGCTAGGCCACCACACAGAACCTCCCACGGGCCCCAGCCAGGCCTTGCTGGCATCTGTTCTGGGTGTCAGGTCCTGGGAAAGGGACAGGAACTGTTCCCAAGGCTTCCTTTGTGGTGAAGGTAAGCTGGGTCCATAGAACCAGAGAGTCTGCAGATGGGACTGCAGCTCCTGTGACCACAG